AGGAGGATTGGCAACAGATGTTAGCTCAGGGCTAATCTTCCTCCCACACACACAAAAAAAGCCGTTAGAACTTGCCATACTTTGTTTGCAACTTTTTTGTATGTCTAAAAACATTATAAAATAAAAAGTTTATTAAAATGAAAAAGAAAGAAAAGGGGTGGGGGGAGGAGGTAATTATACTGAAAAAGGAGTCACTGTACCGAAATGGCATAATTTTGTAAGAGCTGCTCTGGTGAAAAGTTGGCACTGGAAGGGTCTTTATGTGAGGCAAGTGTGTACCCACACCCGGGTGTGACCAGGGCTTTCACACGCACATGCGCCTGTACATACACGTCTATTCAGGAGGGGAAGTGCCTCCGATTTTAGCTGAGTAAACCAGAGCGTGGCCTCAGGTCCAGTCAGTGCCGAGGCAGGGCTTAGACAGGAAACCAGAACACAGGCCTCCAGGAGGCTCAGGGAACATGTGGGAGGGAGGGCGAGGCGAGGGTGGCCCGGGTGAGGGCAGAGGGCAGTCAGGTAAGGCTTCATCGCTGAGGGAGCTTCTGAGTGGAACCTTGAAGGAGGAGTAGGATTTACACTGGTGATGGGTGGGGGCAGAGAATATTCCAGAAAGGAGAGAAAGCCAGGGATGGGACAGTGTGGGGCTGTGTTTGGAGAGTGGGTGGTTCCTTTAGGGGGAAGGAAGGGACTGCCGGTCAAGCAGGGATGTGGGTGTCAGAGGCTGGGTGGAGGCCGGTGAGGAGAGCACGGGCGGAATCCGGATGGGAACCCTACCAGGGAGTCGGCGAAGGTGGACGAACAGAGAGTGGAGGAGAGTCTCGGTAAGCTCCGTGGGTCTGGGAGACACCCTGGCAGCAATAGCCTTGGGGAGACGACATGGCGGCCTAGTGCCAGGGCCACAGTGAGCAGGGCGGGAGGCTGGTGGGAGAGGTGAGTGAGAAGGAGGCGGCGGCTTGGGGCAGCAGGACTTGCTGGCTGGAGATGCCACCAGGAGGAATGGAGCAGTTGGGGAGCACCTTGTGGGGGGAGGAGGGAACCCAAGTGGAGGTGTCCAGCCCAGAGGTGAAGTGGGGGGTTGAGACTCTCCAAAGAGAAGACATCACGTGT